TACTTGCGTCGAATGTCTGGCCACTGCACACTTGTGTGCATGAATGTCGTGTCCTAACGCAGAAACCAATCATAACCCTACAAACATAACATACATGAAGTCAATTTTAACCAACATTTACATGATTCAGTATAACTAATCTAATCATGGATGTGCAAATGTATTTGCTAGTGTCTTACTCACTTTTTGTCAATTTGGTTGTAGTCTGCTTTGTACAGAGTGACAACCAACCTTGTCCTCGCTTCCTGTGATTCGTCCTGTTTTTGTACATATAATTTTACATATTATAAATAGCATTTTTAAAAAAAATATATACAACCTTACGTATAAATACCTCGGTAAGTACACGCAAAGGGAGATGTTGTGATCTAGTCGAACAACATAACATTTGAAGACTCACGTATAGAGCGCAATCGTATCTGCCGTATAAGGAAATGGATCAAGAAAACAGTAACGAATAAAGGGTTCAAAACCATTGCATGTTCGAATCCATACCCATTGCGTTGTTGAGGAAATTCTTGATCGATTACGTAACGGTAAGACGTTGTAATATCTTTCATAATGAACCCATCAGAATACCATGAAGAGACAATCTGCTCCAGTCGGCTTATCATGTCACGATTAATGAAACATTAACATTAATCTTCATTTTAAAGATGTAATCCGTATGGACGGTACAATTTCACGTCATCAAAAAAATAAAATTACCACTTTCTTTGCTTCTTCAACCCTCCCCGGAGTAGTGTGTGCCGAACGCATTGAATCAATTATTCGTATCAGAGATCTTCTAAAATCAACAATGCATATGTATCAATGCAGTTCGATTCATTCATAGGGATCGTTATACTTGAACATTCGTCCGCACGACCATGAAATATTTTGTCTCGAAAGCACGTAGCTTGTATCGTTCGGTCGCTATGCGATGACAAAGCCATTCCCTACAGTTAACGTAAAATTCATAGACAACATCATATGATACATGAAATATTTTAGGCTGAAGATTTTATTAAGAATCTCACGCTGAAAATTGCCGGTAAAATCCAATCGCTTATGTTCCCAAATTCTTTTCTCTGATTCAACGAGGCATGTATGGCGACAAAATCAATGACCTACAGAATGAAGGGTTGAAATCACAATCAAATAAGTCAAAATAAAACACCCAACATAAATAAAAATTTAGTAATTTAATGCAATCTTTTATCTTACCAAACTTGTAAACCAGTGTGGGTATTTAACACATAACATCTGTGCCTTTGACATCGGCCATCCTTCATACTGCATCACAGTTGTTCTGAACAAAATTGGTTGTGAGAAATTGATATATCAACATATAATTGTCCACAAAAATGTAAAAATATATATTAAATCACCATTAGTTTGCCCACGTCTCTTTCACTCACCCAAGTTCAGTATTATCATTGAAAAGATAATCCGACAATTCTTCATCCAGTATAGTAATTTGTTTGAAATATTGGAATGCGTCTGTTATTGTGTCGTCAGTCACCTCGGGAGTCCAATTTTCTTCCTTGCTCTCATCAAAATCCATGTTTTTAGGATCCATATCAAACCAATTTTTGGCAGGTTTCTGTGCCCGCATTGTGTCTTTCGAAGCTGTTCTCATGCTGTGACTCACGTCAGGAGTGCATTTTTCTTCCTCGCACGCCTCAAAATCCAAGTTGTTAGGATTCATTTTATCATCAACCCATTCTGAGGCAGGATTCGGTTCAGGAATTCTGTCTTTCGAAGCTGTTCTCATGCCGTGAGTCACATCGGGAGTGCATTTTTCTTCCTCGCACGCCTCAAAATCCAAGTTGTCATTTTTCCCTTTCCCACTTTTCATCTTGTCCACATGGAACTTCAATGGGCTCATTAACTTGAAGTAATGCGATAATACCAGACACCCCCTGATTAACTAACATGAGATTTTCAATGAGCTTGGCTCTGACTTGTGCATTGTTTTTGGATTCAACGGGCACATCAATATTAGACCAGAAGTCATTATTTTCGTCCGATTGCTGTTTTACTTTTCAATTCTGCAAAAGAATAAGTAAAGTTTTTCAAAACAATAAAAACAAAAACAAAATAAGAAGAAAAGTTAATCTTGGAAATTACAAAATCCACATTATAACATCCCATTTGTTTAAAGACCGAAATTGCTCTTGTGATTTTCGGTTGGATCCACTGCTCTAAAAACGGGGTTCCATGGTGTAAATGTTTGCCGACCATCGGACCAAAGTCAAGATACCTCAGTATTATTTCAGACCAATTGTACTCTTGTAATGCATTCAAATCTACCAAGTAGTCTAGATATTCATAATCCAGAGGCGTATCCCTACTACGTGGAAACAACACGGTGCTAAACACTAGCATCAATAGGGTACTACGAAAATTTTCAACCATAGCAACAAGGTCGGCATACCCAATGTTTTTTCCTTGTTCGTCAGAAAATAATTTACGGTATAAGCTGATACCCTCCTGTTTTTTCTTCGGAATTAACCTCCCATCACTGGACAGACCAAAATGTTTCTCAACAACCACTGGAGACAACTGAATTGCAGCACTAACAACCTTGATAGTCCTGGAATTGAGGTCATACTTCTTAAGTAGCATGCTCACTAACTTAGAATCAATCTGCGTTATGTTCAAACGCGGAAATGTCCCAAAGCCCACCTTTTCAACCACACGACGCTGTATACTTGTCAGGTCGCTGTTGATAGTGACGATTGTCATCAGCTTGGTTCAGTGCAACAGTTTGCAGTCATCATGATTCGACGGTCTTGGAGAATTAAATAGTTCTTTCCTTCGTTTTTTTGTACTACTTGGTGAACATGACTTCATGTCCGCATGTGGACGACTACCTTTTTTTGTGGTAGGAGAACCCTACGATTTAAAAAATTAAAAGCATCAATAATAAGAATATATAATCCACACGATATTCATCACGAACAAGAATGTTTACCTCATCGAAATCCGACATTTGGAGGAGAAGTATATGATGGCTACGTTTGTCGATTATTTCCCTCTTTGAAGATGGCTATTCCAGTCTACTGTTCGATAGATGTATTTTGTGTTGGTGTTTGTAGATGGAGGTCAACAGAGGTAGTTACCAAAAGCAAAAAATTTAGTGAGATTTGTTACGATATTTGCGTACGCCCATATCTATAATTTACTAATTTGTTGCAACCGACTTAAATAAGGTAATCATTATCATTTAATGATACAGGTCGTGGTCAATATTCCATTATTCATATTGTGATTGAATACATAATTAAGGAAAGAAATAAATAATATGTTCCCTAATAGTTTATGCTATATGATTCATATTATTAGCAGTTATTAATATCACAATTTCAAATATTTATATCTTGTACAAAAAAAAAATATATTTATATCAACAACATTAATAGGCAAAAATTCAATTTTGGTCCGCTAATTTGTCCATTGTCCACTTTTGGTACACTATCGTTCCCCTCATAAAAAATGGTCCATTATGTTACACTTTTCATCAGTTTTAGTACACTAATCCCGTGGTCCGGGATTATGAGATGCCAAATCAAATTTTTATCCAACCACGTCAATATCTTATCCATCCACGTAGTTCCAATCCCGGTCCACGTCATCTTGTAATCCCGCCAACTGGAGTAGCATACTAAAACTGATGAAAAATGTAACATAATGGACCATTTTTGATGAGGGGAAAGTTAGTGTACCAAAAGTGGACAATAGACAAATTAGTGGATCAAAATTAGATTTTTGACAACATTAATATAACGAAATTTCACTACAATGATGCGGTACATTAATGTGATTGAATAAATGCCTTTGAAATTTTACTTCATGTAGTCAAATAGATGTTTGTTAGGAGATGGTACGGTCCCGTTACGGAACCATTCTGTCGGGGTTTGTAACCGTTAGATCATCATGTAATCATCAGGGATAGATGATCTAACGATTACAAACCCTTACGTAATTTTACTTAACACTTTTCACCTTTATCATACTAGTATGTGGCCCGTGCAATGCACGGGAAATAATAGTACGACTACATTAAAAATTTAGTATATAAATAACGTAATAATCAAATTTGTCTGCTCAAACTGACCCATAACTTGGTAACTTGTAATCGAACTGGTCTGCTAAAATGTGTTACATAACTTGGTATATTGGGATGAACCTCGGTTGTGTCATTGACCCATCGCTCGATCACCCGAGATCAACCTAAATTGTTTCATGATTTTAAACTATTTTAAATATCAACTAAATGTATTTTTCTTATTTTACTTCAACTTATGTAATTTTATGAAACAAAAAATGTAGTATGGTTCATGTAGTAAAAATGTTTAAACCAACTTACAGTATATCAATATTATAAGTTATAAATTATATATCACCACATAAGTATATCCTTTATTAATTTGTGTATATGTGAAATAAACATATTGATTTTTGGAAAATTTTAAATAATTCGAATGATTTTGCAATTGTTGGCGGTAACTCGATACCAATATGAGTTACTACATAGCAAATATATTTTGCATATCCTTGTTATATTTTTTAACATAATAATTTTTTGGATTATATAATATAATATGTATAAGTACTTATTATAAAAAGTACTATACAAATAAACGAAGTGTAAATATTAGCATTTACCATTGCGTTACTAGTTGTTAGTTTATTTTCTACTAATTATAAAAAGCAATATACAAATTATAATTTAGTTTATATCCAAAACATTGCATTGAATATATTTATACATATAGCAATATTTAACAGAATTCCATTTACAATCCACATATTTAGCAATTAAAATAAATTGTATTCAATACAACTGATTAAAATATTTTTCCGTTCAGATATCAAAACACAAACCATACTAGTAATCATCAATTCAGCATTACAAATAACTTAATAACCAGACCCTAAAACAACTTTTTTTTGCAAAATATTCCCACATACATGATAACAAAACAAGCGGTCTTCAAAGTAACTTGCACAATCTAGTAACTAAGAGTCCCCTGCAGATGTGCAATGTATTCCCCAAATAGTTCGCACAACTTTAGGAAGTTTGGCGGTGTCTTCCGGTTCTCTTCGCCTGGATACTCCTGCAGTATCCCCATTGGTTCGAATATGGCTTTCAGAACATCCCACCTCGGCTCAGGTACGTTCAAAACGTATAGTGCAAGCGGCCAATGCTTCATAAACAAAATAAAACATGACGTTGCGGTCAACCAAAATACACATGACATAACTTGTTTAACATATGAATGATGATTTTTCATACATATACCTTAAGCGCCAGTTTTCTAACCAGAAGTGGGACATGAACGGTAAAATCGAAGAGATCGTGATACACACCCGGTTGATCCAACAACCACTGAAATGTCCTGAACCTTTCCCTTAGCACGTTGTACATTCGGTAAGAGTCCTTAAGTGTATACCAGGAACCCGTCTCCTCAACAAAAGTCTTGTGTATATGATGAAAATTAGCGACGATGTCGGCCTCTTCTGACATATGCTCGAACACGACAAAACATCGTAGTATGCGGCAGAGTGTAACCTGCAACCATTCTTCTCATCTTTCTAGCATCCACTCCCTCATTTGGTCGAAGTGTTATTCTTTTGTTGTTGGCAACGCAAAAGGGAGATCTTCCATCACTTTGTTTTCTTATTTTCGGTTTGGATCTAACAGGAAAACAGAAGGTGTAATTGATGGAGAATGAATGTTCTTTTTTTTTTTAAAAAAATCGAGAATGACAGATAATAAATATGTAAGGGACATATTTAAATGTGAAGGGGTGTTGAGTAGTGGTGACTGGTGAGATAGGGTTCAATCAACTGATTTTTCGGGTTTATGAAGAGGCGTGTTGCGTGTATCGTTTGATTACTTAATTAAGGAGGTGTGTAATTTTATTTATTTATTTATTTAATTTTTAATGATCAATTATTAATTCATTAAAGGTAGGTTGGGGGTTATGATGGCCATTTGGATCCCGTATTGTAATATCCCTTTCAGTTATCTCAGTTATTATGAGTTATTGTTCCAAGAAATAAGTGATTTCGAGTCCAAGATAGTAAGTTATCGGACCGAAATTAAGAATTTTCAAGGAACAAGCCACACGAGTCGTGTGAAGAGACACACGAGTCGTGTGAAGCCACACGAGTCGTGTGGAGAGGCACACGAGTCGTGTGGGATGGAGATGTGATGAAAGTTAGCCTCGGGATTTTGACACGAGTCGTGTGATGAGCCACACGAGTCGTGTGAAGCTACACGAGTCGTGTGATATAGTACACGAGTCGTGTGAGAAGATGAATGATTAAGAGCAAAAGTGTCGGCAAGCCACACGAGTCGTGTGGCAAGGCACACGAGTCGTGTGAGGCCACACGAGTCGTGTGACTCCCCCACACGAGTCGTGTTGCCGACAGTCCAATTGGATTATTGAGAATTCGATTGTGACTTTAACCAAAGGCCATTTTTGATGTTTAAATATGCTTTGGATGGATGAATAAGTAAATCATAAGATATTTTAAAGATTATTTAAGTTTATAAGTTAAATTTTATATTATGATCATTTAATCACTCTATTTGGATGTTTCTCCAATTTGTGCCTATAAATAGAGGCTTAAACCTTAGAGTTTTTACACCAAAATAATTACTAAAGTCATATGAGTTTGTGAGAGAGAGTGAGAAGGAGTAATCTTTGGAGAAGTAAGGACATTAGAGTGAAGAATCAAGTTTTTAACTTCACCTAGAAGGAGGTAATTTACTTATCTTAATGTTTCATATTTGAGTTCATGCTTTTATGATAAGTTTACATGTTTATGAGTATGTATATCATGATGTAGAAGTTGGAGTTTATAATTGATAAAATGAGTTAAAGATGTTAAAGATCAATTATGTGATATATGTGCTTAATGAAATGAGATGTTGATTTGCATGAGATTTTCATGAAGATATGAATATGCTGGAAAAGTATGATTTAAATGAATAATTCTTGTGTAAAAGAGGAGTACATGAGATCAAGAATTTAGTGATTTGGCATAGTATAACTTAAGTTATGAATTTTTGAAGATGAACATGTAAGATGAAGTTTATGTTCACTATGACTTTAAATTCTCATAACTTGATGAATATGAATGATTAAATTATGAAATTTTGATGACATGTCTATTTAGAAGTTGAGATTATGACTGTTAAATTTCATAATTTAAAGATGAGAAATGAATGAGTTATGAATATGAGATGGCATATATGTGAAGATGAGTATATATATATACAAGAATATTCATGAGATGATCAAGATATTAAAATGAGATTTTTATGATCTATTCTCATATGAGTGATGAGTAAATTTGATGAAGATGGTTTAATATGTTGAGCATACAATTTTATAAAAATTGTATTAAGTATGGCATATTAATATCATGATTGGATGTGATGTTTAAAAGATGAATATGATTGAGTTTAATTTCACTTTCAAGATGTAAAAGTGAAAAATGAGTATGAGTAAATATGAATGATTTGGAGAATATGATATATGATGAGATTGATTGAGTAAAAGATTGAGAAAAGTTAATTTGAGAAATGATATGATTATTGAAATTTCTATAAGATTTGAATAAGTTATCCGAATGAATTGAGAAAACCGAGCATCTTATTGAGTAAATGAGCATAAGTACTTAGTATATTTGTTTATATATTTTTATGTAGCTTGAGGAGGTTGCTATACGAGAACAACACTTACGAATTTACAAACGACGAAAGGTGGGGACCCAGACTGGGTATTACATTGAGTATAATATTGATATCATGTCCGAGGTATGTAAAAGTTTAAGTTTATACGCTTGGGAAGAAGGCTGATGAGTTGCCTTACGAGTATTTCCTAAGTTCTAATGGAGGCCGTTGAGTTGCCTGAGAAATATCCATTAGATTGTGCACAAGTATCCGATGAGATATCGGTGAGATGAAGTTGAGATACTGGAAGAGTTTTAAGTCCAGTTATATACCGGAGATCATGATATTGTATTATTATTGCTGTTTACTTTAGTATGGGTGTTTTTCGGGGTACAAGAGGATCGTACTCACCCCCATTGTGTTTTTCAGGAAACAGGGTCGGGCCGGAGGTGTGAGCTCGAGACGTTGTGGTGGTGGTTGTGCATTTCCAAGGATTTTTATGAAGTCTTTAATAAAGTTTGTATAATAAATCACGCTTTCGATTATTCCGCTACGCATATTGACTATTGAACTTGCATTTTCTTAAATGAATTTATGATTTGAAGTTTTTATAAATTTGAGAAGGATGGATATGGTTAAATGCAAGTTTAAAGAAAATCTATTTAATTATGTCTAAAAGAGTTATTAGACAAGAGGTTAAAGATAAATGGATTTTCAAGATGTAAGGTTTAGTAGCATCCCGAAATAGTCGCAAAAGATTTCGAAAGAGATATAAGTATTTTCGAAGTAAAAGTTGCGAAAAATTTACTCTGATAAGCGGGGTGTTACAGGTGGTATCAGAGCTAGAGTTTTAAGAGCTCTGTATACTAAAAAGTTTATGTTTTGAGAAAGAAATGTTTCAGGAAAACCGACCACACCAAACTCACACCTCGCCGACTACCAGGTAAGTGTTGTTAAAAGTTTTTATGAAAATTTTTATATAAGCAAATTACTAAGTCTATGCTCAATAAGATTCGGATATCCAAATTATAGAAATCAGAGAAGATGCTCAATCAAAGATGTTAAGTAATATCATATTTACCCCTATGAGAAATTGAGATTATCGGGTTACTAAGTAACTCGTATAGAAATAATGACTTATCTTGAAATAATTGTTATTATGGGATTAATAACCCAGATGGCTCCAAGAGCGATTCAAAGAGAGATGACATCGGCTGAAGTAGTAGCCCAGTTCCGTGGCTACAATGCTGAAAAATTTTCAGGACAAGGAGATCCTCGTCTGGTAGATGAATGGATTCAAGGCCTAGAGACAATTTTCGAGATAACTGAGTGCTCAGAGAGACATCGTATTCTCTGTGCTCAGTTACAGATGACTGGAGATGCTCGTCTCTGGTGGAATTCTTACTGGGGCATGCGTCCTGGTGAGAAGGAGAATCTCACATGGGACCAATTCAAGGAGATGATGAATGACAAGTACTACCCGGACTACTATAAGGCTGAGATGGAACGCCAATTCCTGGCCTTAGTCCAAGGTAATCGTTCAATTGATGAATATGAACGAGAATTTACTCGATTGGGATCCTTTGCAACCAATCTGATTGAAACAGAGGCTAAGAAGGCGAGACGTTTTCGAGATGGACTGTTACCTTCGATTCGTCATCATGTGGCCGGACACAATATTCAAACTTATGCTGATATTGTGGCCAAGGCTCATGAGATCGAGGCTAGTTTCAGAAGGGGAGATGCTCAAGTTGTGATACAGCCATTATCACAAATCCCAACAGTACCAACAGCTCCATTGGTACCAGTCCAAGAAGAGAAGAATGGAAAGAACAAGAGGAAGTGGAACGGTCACAAGAAGGACCGTAAGAATAAGCAGAAGCAGAAAGGAGGAAATGTTCCAGACTGTGAAAAATGTGGCAAGCACCACCTGGGAGAATGTCTGGCTGGACAAAATGTATGTTACCATTGCCGAAAACCTGGTCATGGCATGAGGTTTTGTCCAGAAAGGCAGCAGCAGGGAGGAGGACAACAAGCCCAAGTCTATGCCATCAATCAAGTTGAAGCTGAGCAGAACCCAGGTACCATGTCTGGGATGATTATTTTAAATGATATGCCAATTTTTGCTTTATTCGATACTGGAGCAACGCATTCATTTGTGTCTAAGAGATGTATAGACGCAATTGGAGTTAGAATTATTAACACTATTGACCCTCTTGAGGTAAGTTTAGCCTCAGGAAGGAAAATAGAGACAAGCTCTAAGGTAGAGAACCTTAGTGTTAATATCGGAGGAAAAATCTTGGCATTAGAGGCCTATGTTATCGAAATGAAGGATTTCGATCTCATACTTGGAATGGATTGGTTAACGAATTATCGTGCTGATATTCGTTGCCATGAAAGAGAGGTAATTCTTTATCTTGCAAAAGATGATCAAATTACTTTCTACGGAGCAAAGATGAGAACTCTACCATGTGTGATCTCGATGGCAAAGGCGAGGAAGATTCTGCGAAGGGAGGACTGTCAAGGATATTTGGTGAGCATTGTCGAAGATGATTCGAAAGCACAAACACCTCACGATATTCCTATTGTTCGTGAGTTTGTGGATGTGTTTCCAAATCAATTACCCGGAGGACCACCCAACAGACAAGTGGAGTTCACAATTGATCTGGTTCCAGGAGCAGCACCAGTGTCGAAGGCACCATATCGGATGGCGCCGAAGGAATTGCAAGAGTTGAAGACTCAAATCCAGGAGTTGTTGAAACTTGGTTTCATCAGACCGAGTGTTTCACCTTGGGGAGCACCTGTTCTGTTCGTCAAGAAGAAGGATGGATCCATGAGGA